CAACATAAATTGTTCTAACTGAATAAAAGTATTAATTTCTTTAAAAATCTTACTGACCCCAAACTTTTAAACGTTAGAATACGTCAGGATTCATTTTGATATATAGCACCCACTTTTTTCAGTCAAATAAGCCATATCCCTATGGATACAATCAAGTAAAATGGGTTGTAATGCCTATCATGTTGACTTTTAAGTATTTTAAGTGTTAGCTTGATGAATGGTTTGGTAATGTACTTTTTCTCCATGCTTACACAGACGATTGAGCATTAATTTTGTTTTTCAATTGCTTTGGAAAGACTCAAAAGAGTCAGGAGATTTTCATAACAACTAGTCTTACTTGAGTACACTTGAATTTTCCCATTGCTGGAAAGATTGAATCATCTAAGTTAGTTGTAAACTTCTGCAGTGCTGTTTGAAGTCGAGTGCAGGTCTCTTTTTTTTTTTTTGTATGTTCGTAGACTTTAGCATTACATTTGAATCCGCAGTCAGCAGCAGGACAGACTGGTGATGGAACAACTTAACAACTAACCTGGGATTCGCTGTGTGATGCTTTAGTCTCCACTGTTGGAATGAATGTTTTGCCATGTGCTCCTGCAACATGCCTATGTCATTGCTTTTCCATGCTGCACTGCTGATATATATAATGCGCGCTGATGGAGGGGAGGAGCACTGGACCCGATTCCACTGCTTGCACCAGCATCAACCTGCTTCGTCCAGATCAGTACATCTCTCCTGATCTCATCTGCCGTTTAAAATGAAATATTAATTTAACTTCTAAAAACAAATCAGCGATGGAAGCATTTCTGACTTGTAGTTACTGGCTAACCAACCACTTACAGTAGGATCAGAATCAGGATAATTTGAAATGTGCTAACAGTCTCTAACAAGACATGACCATATTTTGTTTACATGCAAGGCCTTTTCAGGGGCATATTAAGTCTCGTCTCTGAGCAGGGTGGAGCATTAAGACCATTGATTTTGCTAGTAACTAGGGCTGGGTGATACAAAAAATTTCAATACAATTTATTATTATTATTATTTTTAATAATCACATTTTATTTCTATAGCACATTTGTTAAAATCAAAACAAAGCACGGAAAAACACTCAGACAAAAAATATTGATAATGAAAACAGACATA